GCATATAAGTCCGTGTTTCTTGGTTATTTATTTCATTGCTACTTTATTGAACTATCTAACAAAACGACTGTATAAAGGTTTTAAAAACATAAGCACTTTAAAAATTTTAAAAGTTAAATTTTAACATTTCCTATAGTGTAGCTACAATCAATCCAAATAAAATCTCAAACATACCAGTTAATGTTACTTGTCTGTTGTTGTTGTTTTTATTTATTTTTACAGTAAATAAATTCAGTGTTTTGTTCACAATAAATAAATGGCTCGATAAAAATATGATTGTGCCAACAAATGGGTAAAAAAAAGTAAAATGAATGGCATTCATAAAATTAAAAGCAGATGGAACTTATTTTTCTCTACTATTATCATGATCTATAGTATCAGAATGAGTACATTAAATAAAATGAATAGTATCAGTGTAAGTGAACCTAAACACCACTCAAATAAACAGTAGCTCCTCTTCTGTGCCTAAATAAATCCTCCTAGATGTTGTTGTCAAATAAGAAGATAATTTATGAGTTTTTCTCCTTCCCCAAGTATTTTATCTGGGCCAAGATGGGATTGTGTCTAAATGGTGTTTAATGAGTTTTAACTCCAGCTCTGGAGTTAAGGTTAGTGTGGTGCAGCTGAAAGTAAATGAAGCTTAAATATGCTTCAGTTTTAAAACTGAAGCTGTGGGTCATTTTGAGGCCTCAGTAAAGAAAGGAAAAAAAAGATGGATTAAAGGTTGTGTGAAAACAAAGAAGTAAAAGCAGAATAGTTGAGGGACTTAATCCATCTAACCCAGGTCTCATTAGTGGAGCTAATTGCTGTTTGTTAAAAAGGGATTAAACATAGCAATGTCTCCAGCCTGGGTCTTTTACAAAGTAAAACAAATATGTAAGAAGCTCAGAGGCACCTGCTCGTTCTCAGATGTTCTGTGACTAAAATGAAATTAAGAATAATAAACACAACCAACTCTACACGTTATTTTTCCTGTGCATGACTTCAGACACTGATTAAACAGATTAGAAACATTTCTGATGACACACACGGAAAGGTACTGCCGTCTGGCTTCTTCACACATGAGCATCATGATTGTATTTATTATAGTGTGTCCAACACTCCATTACAGCTCAGATTAAACACACCGAAGCAGTGTGTGAGGAACAAAGGAGGGGCACAGACTACTGTTTCACTTCCTGCTTTAGATGGAGCTGGAGATCTGCTGCATTTTTTACACACAGCTTCACATCATCTAAGGAGCTTATTTATTTATTTTTATAGCTTTCATGTTAAATCTGGCATTGAGTGCTTCATGGCTTTAGGATTAATGCAGTAAGAAACTGTGGCTCAATCACAGACTGTGGGCTCTTTTCAGCAACTCTCTTACTGAGACAAGGAGAATACAGGACAAGTTATTTTAAATGAGATTCAACCTGAAACAATTTATTCATGTTTGAAAAGATGYTTGAAGATCTGACATGTAACTTCATTCTACTGTTCTCTCACAAATAAATTATGCATGTTGTAAAAAGTCTTGKGATGTATTTAGGATTTGCAATGTTAAAGCACGTGTCAAAATGACGGCTTACAAGCCAAATGTGGCCCATCACAGATTTCTATGTGGCCCATGAGAGCTTCAAAGATGTGATAATGTTTTTTTAAAATAAGCGTATTCTGCTTTAAAGCCAACATTGACCATAAACYACATCTCCCATAATGCAAGTTGATAATATCCAACCACTAGGTGGAAGTGCACAGAGCAGCAAAATTCACCATGTAAAACCTCCATTTAACTACTTTGTTGCAGGATATTTTTGCTGCGGCCCAGCTGAACTGGGAAGTAAACATTGCCCACTTATAGGTCCTAAATTTAAACTAGAATGCCCCCTCCAGTAGCAATTCATTTTTGGAAAATCAGAACTCAAGATGGCGGCTACTTACCACAACAACGAATAAAACTCTCTTACTTTTATTTTTAACAGTATTTGTTTTGCAAAATGTTTAATTTTATATTATTTTTATTTTTATGTTTTTTTCTCTTATTTCTATTTTACTGTTGGATGTTGTTTTGTTTTTACTGTTTGAAGGGACTACAGA